TGAAGTACAATAAAATATAAAAAAAAAAAAAAAAGACCAGTCTTATTGGTCTGACAGAGACTGGAGAAATCCTGAGAGTACGGCCCCCAGACACCCTTGCAGCTTAGTAATGAAGTCACTCCTGAGGTTCACCCTTCAGCCAAAATTAGACAAGCCCATAAAACAAACCGAGAATAAATGGGCACACTAGCCCACAGGCAAGGACGAGAAGGCAGGAGGGGACAGGAAAGCTGGTAGTGGGGAGTCCGAGGTCGAGAAGGGGAGAGCGTTGACATGTTGTGGGATTGGCAACTGATGTCACAAAACAATATGTGTATTAATTGTCTAATGAGAAACTAGTTTGCTCTGTACAATTAGAAAAAAAAAAATGCCATGTCCTAATCCTTAATCTATTTTTAAAATAATTTATTTTGTTTTTGTTGTTGTTGAAAATATATACAGCAAAACTTGCACCAAGTCAACAATATCTACACATACAATTCAGTGACACTGACTACATTCTTCAAATTGTGCAACCATTTTCACCCTCTTTTTCCAAACTGTTCCTCCCTCATTAACATAAACTGACTGCCCCTTAACCTACCTAAACTTTCAAGTTACTGTTGTCGACTCGATGCCATATATGTAGTTCTTTAAAAGAGCACCAATTCTTAACGTTTACCATTCCCCAACAGACTCTCTAATCAGATTTTCTCAGGTATTGAAACCTCAGATCATCAACAAGATTCTATTGTCTAGTCTGAGAAGAGAGTAATTTAACCTCAGAATTGTTCAACATTAGAATCCTGTTTACTAGTTCCACACAAGAAAGAAACTCAAACTACTCTCGATGGCATCTTTAGATTTAACAGTCTCGGTGCCTCAAAGCTGTGACTCTGGGGAAAGTCAGGATTGTGCTGAGGTATTTTCTTTACAATATGGTTGAGTGATAAGCTTATTACATCCTAACGGTTACCAACCAAAAAAAAAACAAATCCATTGCTGTCTCCAGTTGATTCCAAATCATAGCGACACTGTAAGACAGAGTAGAACTGTCCTATAGCATCTGCTATGCTGTAATCTTTACAGACGCAGACAGTCACATCTTTCTCCCGAGAAATGACTGCTGGGTTCAAACAGCTGACCTTTCGGTTAGCAGCCGAGTGTTTAACCACTGCATCACCCACTCATCCATAAAGTATCACATTCATTTATTACATAGATCAATCCTACTCACCATGAGATGCTATGTACATTCCTCAGCAATGGCCTCCTGGTTATAACAATATGTTGGGAAAATGGGTAGACTGTAGGACAGGAAGATGAAATCAAAGTAACAGATGGCTATAAAACGTGATTTAAAGAGAGAAGAGCAATAGTAGGACAATACCACAGAAGCAATCTGGAAGATAATTTCTTTAAACAGAAACCAAAAGACAGAGGAGAAAAGATAAAGGAAGCAATAATCATAGAGAGTAAAGCTGAAAAAAGCAAAAAGAAAGAGGGAGCACAGCAAATGAGGAGAACAATAAGAAAAGCTATAGTTTTGCAGCTCTAGGTAACCACTGAGTTGAGTTAAATGGGCACTATCATAGTATCATTCTTACCTCAAAGTGCCATCTCCAGTTGAAGGACCTGTTGACCAAGAGATGATTATGGCAAATAATACCCAAATACAATTGAGCTGCTAAGAAAAAATGCTCTATTCTTCCAAACCTGTGACCCAAATAAGAAAATGGAGTTAGAAGCTTTTCTCCTGGACGAATCAGATTGGATCACCTCATTGCATCAGAAAAAAGCAAGATTTTTCATGGCTCTGCTCAAGTCTCCCTTTGAATCATGTTGACTTGGAGGGAAGGAGAGAAAGAAGTATCAATCACTGCTCTTAGGAAAATAACAGAACAGTAGAGTTAGCACCAGAACTAGGAACTGGGAAGTATGAATTGATGTGGGTATGACTGTCACTTAAGCTTCCAATTAATAGGGCCTCAGAGAGTGGGGATAATTTTGCTTCCTCTTTCAGTCAAAAGGCTCCCTGGAAGAGCCAAGAGCCCTGGTTGACCCTTGTGTCCATCAATTTGCTATCAACACAGGGTCATAATACCAAGAAGAGCCAAGAAAAGGATACTATTATAGCTGTTGTTAGTTGCCGTCAAGTCGATTATAACTCATGACTACCCCGTGTGTGCAGAGTAGAAATGCTCTGTAGGGTTTTCAGTACTGCGACCTTTCAGAAGCAGATAGCCAGGCCTGTCTTCCAAGGTACCAAGTGGGTTTGAACTGCCAGTCTTATGGCTAGTAGTCGAGTGCTTAGCCATTTGTACCACACAGGGACTTCTAAGAGTATACTAAAACCAAAAAAAAACCTGTTGCTGTAGAGTCGATTCTGACCCATAGCGACCCTATAGGACAGTGTAGAACTGCCCCATATGGTTTCCAGGGAGTGCCTGGTGGATTCGAACTGCTGACCTTTTGGTTAACAGCGGCAGCTCTTAACCACTGCGTCACCAGGGTTTCCAAGAGGATACTGGTGACCAGCAAATAAGTCACCCCTGGAACTTGGCAAACTACAGTCTGTATGGGGGGTGGGTGTGGAGATTCACTTATTTATCCTTTCAACAAACATTAATTGAGAACTTAGTAAGTGTTAGGCACTCTTCTAAGTATTGGAGCTACAGCACTGGACAAAACAAATCCTAACCTTCATGGAGGTTATATTGGGAAAGGGGTGAGAGACAATAAACAAAGAAACAAATACATGTATAGTATAAAGTCAGTAGGGACTAGTGCTATGAAAAATATTATAGGAGAATAAGAGGTGGATGGTTAGGATGGTCAGGGAAGCCCTCTTCGAAGAAGGATATTTAAGCAGAGGCTTGATTGTAAAGTGAAGGAGCAAGACGTGTGGACATCAGGGGAAGGACTTCCAAGCACAAGGAACAGCAGATGCAAAGGATCTGAAGTACAAGGATCTTGGCAGGTTAAAGGAAGAACAAGGAGGTTAGCACTGCTAGGTCAGAGTGATCAAGAAATATGATGGTAGGAGATCAGCTTGATCATATAGGGCCTTATAAGCTATGGATTTCATTCTAAGTGTAATGGGAAGCCACTGAAGAGTGTGGGGATGATTCAAATGAAAGTATCAGACTTAGAGGCCAATGCCTCTCAAACTCAGAGCACTGAGGATGTCCCAGCTCTGAAAACAGCACTGACCAGGCCTGGGTTCAGAATATTTGCTGTTGTTGGCTGTCATCAAGTTAGTCCCACTCATGGTAACCCCGTGCACAATGGAATGAAATGCTGCCTGCTCCTGTACCGTTCCCATCATCAGTTATGGATCAGATCATTGTGATCCAAAGGGTTTTCATTGGCTGATTTTCAGAAGTAGACTGCCAGGGCTTTCTTCATAGTCTGTCTTAGTCTGGAAGTTCTGCTAATACTTGCTCAGCATCATAGCAACACACAAGCCTCCACTAACAGATGGCAGTGGCTGTACATGAGGTACGTTGACTGAGAATCAAACCCGGGTCTTCTGCATGGAAAGCGAGAATTCTACTACTGAACCACAAAGGCCCCCTCAGGATATTTAGAACACAGAATTCCAAAACTTGGAGAGCACAAATGCTACTCATTTGCTTTATTTTGGCAACACGAGCTCATGTTATGGATTTGCCCCTGGTTATTTGGAAGTTAAATTTGTCTGGGAAGGCAGTAGAGAAAGCCCATAAGTCAAAGGATTCAATTACCAGCACCAATCCCTCTTTTCCAAGAAAGCAGAGATCCATGATGTTTGAGACAGAGAGCATGAGGTTCCCCCCACTCCATGCTCTCCCTACCATTATGGATTGAATTGTGTCCTCCAAAAATATGTGTTGTAAGTTCTAACCCCTATACCTGTGGTCATAATCCCATTTGGGAATGAGTTTTCTTTGTTAGGTTAAGAGGCCATATCAGTGTAGGGTGTGTTTTAAATCAGAGACATAAAAAGAACAGATTAGGACAAGGAAACAACCAGAGTTGGGGGAAGATAGATGCCATGCCACATGGAGATCTCCAAGGAACCAAGAAACAGAAACTGAAGAGACAAGGACCTTTCCCCAGAGCCAGCAGAGATAGAAAACCTTCCCCTAGAGTCAGCACTCTGTTTTCAGACTTCTAGCCTCCTAAACCATGAGCAGATAAATTTCTGTTTGTTAAAGCTACCCACTTGTGGTTATTTCAGTTACAGCGGCACTAGATAACTAAGACACCTTCCCAGTGGGTCGGAAAAGATACAAAAGTCACTCCTACCTCTGAGGGTAAAGTGGCTGTGGGGAGATGCAGGCAAGAGACTTAGCACAACCTCCTAGCCAAACTTTAACTTTTAGGAGCAGTTTTTGAATCAAGAAGAGTCACAAGTTCTGGTGGATACTTCCTCCTAAACAGAAAGTATTTTATGCAAAGCACTCTCTCTCTCCCTCTCTCTCTGTGTGTGTGTGTGTGTGTGTGTGTGTGTGTGTGTGTGTAGTCTATGCATGTTCGCTGGGTGGTAGAGGGGAATTAGGAGGGAACTATGTGGGGCACAGTATCCTATCGGTGGAAAGTGGTTCTAGCTGAGGTGAGAGACTAAAACAGAGAATTAGCTAGATATCATGAAAGAGGCAGAGCCAGGAAACACTATCCTAAATGTGACCCAAAGAATAAATCTCTGACCCTTAAAAGAAGAAAAGGGGAATTTGAGTACCGAGATGGAGGAGGAAGGAGATGGCTGACACTTGGAATGGGCACCTGTCAGACTTTAATCCAAACTGCAGCCCTTGAACCAGCTGGAGGGGGCCTTCCAGAAACAGAGGCCATACCTGGAGGAGATGGTCAAATTAACAATCGGAGAACACTTCCCCTGAAGGAAGTGAAACAGCAGTAAGAACTTCAGAAATGGAGAGTGGAGTGAGATATATGCTCAGTATTTAGACTGATCAATACAACCCCTGGGATGCAAGGCAAGAGGATCAGCCACATGATTCAGGACTGTTTGAGGGATGAGACACACCACCTTCAGAGGAAGGTCAGGAAAGCGCCCAGGTAATTAAACTAAACAATGTGTTTGGTCTTTCGCAACACTCCACTCACAAAAGAATTCTAATAGAGGGAGAATATAATGAAGAAGAAAACCGTTGTTACTTAAACCCAAAACTGATATCTGTATGACCTCCTAATATATGATACACACATTGTTGCAATAGTCTTCTAACTGGTCTACTTACTTCTAGCTTTTTCTTCTTCCAGTCCAAAACCCATCAAATGCCAGGTAAATGTTTCTAAAACACTGTTTTAATCATATCACTATGCTATTCACAAATTCTCCAATGGTTTTCTGTTACAAAAAGGATGAACCTCAATTTCTTTTGCCTGGCAATCAAGGCCCTCTATAATAATCACCACAAATTTGTGTTCTAATCTTATTGCAGATTATTTTCATAAACTCTTCTCTAACCTAACCAGTTTGCTCAAATCTCTTTTAAATTCTCTCAAGCTCTTTTTGTCAACGTGACTGAATCACCTGAAATTTCCTCCTCCTTTTTGCCAGTCTAAATCTTATCTTTCTTTTAGAGACAGCTCAAATCCCACCTCATCTGAAAATTATTTCCTTCCATAGCCAGAAATTTTCTCAGTCTCTCATGAATTTCTCTAACACTAAATAACTGGACAATTAATTATCAATGAATCACATCCTTAAGTTATCTCTAAGGAGCCCTGGCAGTGCAATGGTTAAGCACTTGGCTTCCAACCAAAGGGTCAGTGGTTCCAACCCACCAGTAGTGAGTCTTTTCTTCAAAAGACCTGGCGATCTGCTTCTGTAAAGATTACAGCTTAGGACACCCTATGGGGCAGTTCTCCTCTGTCCTATAGGGACGCTATGGGTTGGAATTGACTCCACAGCGCTCCATAAGAGCAACATGTTATCTCTTCTGTTGTTTTCTTGAGCTGCTATTTAAAGTGCTGCATTTTTACTTTTTTATTATGGTGAAACAAGCACTGACTTAGCGTCCAAAATCATTTGGGGATGTAAATAGCTCATACTAATAAATCTTGTTTAAGGATAACCGTAATATATTAATCAATAATAGGAAAGCTGAAAAATGCCCAAGGAGACACACACATAAACACACACACTCGAGTGAGTGCACGTACACACATACACCAACAATTTTTGCACTGTTGATGAATATGGAGCTTGTCTGGCCCCAGTCCATTTTACCTTTCTCAGAAGTCATGGTGCTGTGTCTCTGGTCTGCTTCCTCTGAAGTCATGTATTGTGCCGATTGCTCCTGCCAGCAACACAACTGAGCTTTATTTCCTCAGGTGTGCCTGCTGCCACCGACTTGGGCAGAGGATGACTCATTTCTGGGTTTCAGGCTGTTACTGGGTATCTGGATTGTACAAACAAGTAGCACATGAGAGGAAAATAAGCAGCCTGGAGATTGATTGCATCATTGGCTTGATAAGAAAGCCTAGCATGCAAATAACACTAGTCCTGAAGTGTAGATTACTGACGGGTGTGCCAAATTCCAAAATTGTTCTCTGATGACATGTGAATTTGTTAACCTTCCCCTTTCTTTTAAATTAAGGCAAGACCAACCCATTCTTCTATATTGGAGAGAAGAGAAGAATAAAAGTACAAGAGAATTGACTTATTTCTGTAACCTGAAGATCTTTAGTGTTACCTAGTCAGGATACTGTGGCCTTGCCCTTCAGCTATTACATACTTATTTCTAACTTCCTCTTAATTTGCCCTTTGCCACAAATCCCCATTGGAAAGGGGAGAGGCACTGTTCGATGTCAAATCAGAAGGACCTTGGCCTCTGAGTCAGGTAATTAGTGCGCAGGTCTTTGGTCTCTTCCTCTCTGAAGGAAGGTTAAGTGTATGGCCAAGTCCACTTCTGCTTTTGAAATCCCCATAAGACAGTGAATGCTACTGCCATTACCCTCTGTTCCCTGCACCCTGGGTCAAGTTCAAGCTACAGATTCCTCTGAGTCTCAGCATCCCCTGTCAGAATAAAATTCACTCTCTCAAGGCCTGGGACTCCCTCTAATTTCTCCAAATAGAGCCCTGAGCTTTGAAATTCAAGTCTCCATAAATCCTAAACCTGAGTGCTAAACACAAGTTTCCTTAGTTATGAATCTCAAACTGGAGCCTCTACAAAATGAAACAGTTGTTTGTACAGTGGCAGGTGAACTGCCAGAAATTCAAGCAGGATTCAGAAGAGGATGTAGAACGAGGGATATCATTGCTGATGTCACATGGATCCTGGCTGAAAGCAGAGAATATCAGACAGATGTTTACTGTCTTTCATTGCCTATGCAAAGGCATTCGACTGTGTGGATCATAACAAATTATGGATAATATTGTGAAGAATGGGAATTCCAGAACACTTAATTGTGCACATGAGGAACCTGTACGTAGTATTAGAGATAGAGTCAGAGGAAGATGAGTATTTCTCACATATCTACTCTTATGTTTCATCTTAGATTATTTAGTTTGGATGTTGGTTTGTGGGCTATAAGGGCTAGGAAGGGTGTATCTGAGTAGAGAGGAATTGTTGGAGATGAGGTGGTTAATAGCTCGGCTGCTAATCAAACGATCAGCAGTTCGAATCCACCAGCCGTTCGTTGGAAACCCTCTGAGGCAGTTCTACTCTGTCCCGTAGGTTTGCTATGAGTCGGAATTGACTCGACGACAACGGGTCTGTTTTTTTTGTTTGTTTGTTTTTTAATACACACACAAATGCAAACGCTTTCGACTGTGTAGATCATAACATATTGGTTAACATTATGAAGAATGGGAATTCCAGAACACTTAATTGTGCTCATGAGGAACCTGTACATAGACCAAAAGGCAGTCTGGTCAAACAGAAAAAGGGAATACTGTGTGGTTTAAAGTCAGGAAGGGTGTGTGTCAGAGTTGTATCCTTTTGCCATACTTATTCAATCTGTTTGCTGAGCAAATAGTTCCAGAAGCTGGACTATATAAAGAAGAACAGGGCATCAGGATTGGAGGACGACTCATTAACTACCTGCGTTATGCAGATGACACAACCTTGCTTGCTGAAAGTGAAGAGGACTTGAAGTAGTGTTGAAGATCAAAGACCACAGCCTTCAGTATGTATTAAACCTCAGAGTAGAGAAAACAAAAATCCTCACAATTGGACCAATGAGCAACATCATGATAAGTGGACAAAAGACTGAAGTTGTCAAGGATTTCATTTTACTTGGATCCACAATCAACACCCGTTAAAGCAGCAGTCAAGAAATCAAATGATGCATTGCATTGGGCAAATCTGCTGTGAAAGACCTCTTTAAAGTGTTAAAGAGCAAAGATGTCACCTTGAGGACTAAGGTGTGCCTGACCCAAGCCATGGTATTTTCAATTGCTTCATATGCATGCAAAAGCTGGACAATGAATAAGGGAGGCTGACGAAGAACTGATGCCTTTGAATTATGGTGTTAGTGAAGAGTATTGAATATACCATGGACTGCCAGAAGAATGAACAAATCTGTCTTGGAAGAAGTACAACCAGAATGCTCCTTAGAAGCAAGGATGGTGAAACTTCGTC